AAGTGTTAAGATGAAAGCCACAAATAAGTGATAAAAATAACCAAGAGAAGAGCTATCTGAGCAAGAGAATTCAAAGGAAAGCTGGTATTTCTACCTCCTTCGGGCTAAAGTACGCTCAGATGAAGTCTTACCTAAAGCTTTAAGTGAATCTTAGCAATAAAACGTATTTGCTTTGCCTGAAGTGCACTTGGATTCACCTGAAATCTCAAAACCAAACTACCACTTGAGTGTTTCTTTAGGGAATTACCATCATGCACTGAGGCTCCATTTCACAAGACTTTTTCAAGTCACTATATGCTTTCAGTACTGTTAGCACTTGTCCTTGGAGAGTGAAGTTTACTGTCTGTTACCTGTTTTTACACTGACAAAGGTCTATTCCTTATCTCCTAGATGTTCATATGCTAAATGCATTAAGCATTAAATACTTACAGAGTGCTCACCACTGACAACTTCCAGCTTCCCTCCCTCCACCCATTGAACTGAAAAGACTGTCAGGTAAGCCTAAGCCCCATAAACCTGTGTTTTTAACCTGAAATCAGGGAGTCCCCTCCTATTGTTTTCTCTGCCTGTGAAAAAAAGCCTGGAAAAGCTAGGCCCAAAGGCTTTGGACATCACAGCCTGGAAAAGCTGTATCAGGAAGCTGTAAGAAGGGAAAACACAGTTTGTTACCAAGCCTGGGCATCGGTGTGAAGGAGGGGGAGAACAGGATGACCCATTAGGAGGGGAGACAGACTGAGCAGCCAACACTGGAGTGCACTGGGATGGATGAGAGAGGCCACCTGGTTATCTTCTCCAGCTCAAGAGAAGGAAAGGAGCTGCTGACAGAGAGAGAAGCTGAGCACAGAAGTCGTCTAAGGGCCATGAATATCTCTGAGATGCTCAGGTTCTTAGAGAAAGCTGAAGGCAGGCAAGCTTCAGAACTTCGTGGCATCATGAGGTTGTTTCAGCAGATACTGTAAACCACAAAGTTTTGTGTCTCACTTCTGGGTCAATTCATTAATGCATTTGGGGTTTGCATTGGATAATGTATTTGGGTTAGAGTGTGTTTCTGATTCAGAAGAGCAGAACCCACACAAGGTGTCAGAAAGAAGACTGGATGAGGTGTGCTTTTGTAGCCAAGGGCTAGAGGTATTTAGAGTGCATGGCCACAAATGAACAATATCAATTTTGGCTGATCCAACTCTTCTTTATATCTTTATCTTAAATAAGAGCAGAAGGTAATAAGTAGTGCTTATCTGGATCTTTTTAACGCTGATGGAGAATGTTATACAAGTCATGCTGACCGTTGCACCCAACCTCACTGAATTCAGTGGTGGATCTCAAATGTGTGACAGAACCTGGCTTTAAATTGGCTATAATACACAAAGCAGTGAAAGCTCAGGGTTTCAGGGTGAGCCACATTCTCTATCTCATGCCTGTGTTGGGTTTCCCCATAGTGGTGCTGTTACTCAGGAATTTGCAGTGCCACAACCCAGCCTGTCTGCCAAGGTGCAGAGGACTACTTCCTTTGTTACAGGAGGTGTAGCCTGGCCTTCAACACTGCCAGGGATGGGGCAGCCACAGCTTCTCTGGGCACCCTGTGCCAGCGCCTCAGCACCCTCACAGGGAAGAGCTTCTGCGTTAGATCTAACCTGAACTTCCCTTCTTGAAGAGTCCCTCTCCAGCATCCTTGCAGCCCCCTTCAGACACTGGAAGCTGCCCTGAGGTCTCCACGCAGCTTCTCTTCTCCAGGCTGAACAGCCCCAGTGTTCTCATCCTGTCTCCATACAGGAGGTGCTCCAGCCCCTGAGCATCCTCGTGGCCTCCTCTGGACTTGTTCCAACAGTTCCATGTCCTTTTTATGTTGAGGACACCAGAGCTGCACACAGTGCTGCAAGTGAGGTCTCACAAGAGCAGAGCAGAGGGGCAGGATCACCTCCTTTGACCTGCTGGTCACGCTCCTTTTGATGCAGCCCAGCACACGGGGGCTTTCTGGGCTCAAGCGCACACTGAAGCCGGCTCATGTTCAGTTTCTCATCACCCAACACCCCCAAGTCCTTCTCCGCAGGGCTGCTCTGAATCTCTTCTCTGCCCAACCTGTAGCTGTGCCTGGGATTTCTCCAACCCAGGTGTAGGACCTTGCACTTGGCATGGTTAAACTTCATGAAGTTGGCATCAGCCCACCTCACAAGCGTGTCAAGGTCCCTCTGGATGGCATTCCTTCCCTCCAGCGTATCAACCGAACCACACAGCTCGGTGTCATTGGCAAACTTGCTGAGGGCGCACTCAATCCCACTGTCCATGTCAGCGACGAAGATGTTGAACAAGACCGGTCCCAACACCGATCCCTGAGGGACACCACTTGTTACTGGTCTCCAGCAGGACATTGAGCCATTGACCACAACTCTTTGTGTGCGGCCATCCAGGAAGTTCTTTATCCACTGAGTGGTCCATCCATCAAATTGATGTCTCTCCAATGTAGAGACAAGGATGTCGTGTGGGACAGTGTTGAACGCTTTACACAAGTCCAGGTAGATGACATCAACTGTTCTACCCCTGTCCATCAGTTCTGTAGCCCCATCATAGAAGGCCACCAGATTGGTCAGGCAGGATTTCCCCTTAGTGAAGCCATGCTGGCTGTCACCAAGCACGTTGTTGTTTTTCATGTTTCCTAGCATGCTTTCCAGGAGAATCTGCCCCAAGACCCTGCCAGGCACAGAGGTGACACTGACTGGTCTGTAGGAATTCATTGTAAGATAGTTTCATGTGATCTTTTTTCTTTTCCAGAGCTGTAACATCCTAAAGTATTGCATCATTCAAGGACAAAGGCAAAGCCCAACACAGAACAAACCAGCACTTTACCCTGCTCTCACACCAGGCACAGCTCTTCATTTATTCCTTATGGAAAGAGGGGGGCTTCATGGGGCCAAAGAGAGAAAGGATGATCACCAGCAGCACCACATCTTACATGATGTTCTTGCTTTTCTCCCCTGCACTGCTTTGTGCAGTTTAATAGCACCTTATTTGTTTTAAAGGTAGGTGTTTTTGAAGGTGTGTGCATTTGGATGCTTTGTTGTACACTGCCAAGTGGTCTTGGACTAGAAAAAGGCCAGACTTTCCTCTCAGTGCCCTCCGCACCATGCAAAAGGGCAGAAAACATGAAAGGGGGGATTGTGAAACGTGTTAGATGAAAATCAACAGCTAGAAAGTTCGGTTGGGTTCACAAACCTTCTAGATCTAGCTAGGGAGATGCTAGCAATGTGAAAAGCGGTACTTGGCAATCTGATAGCAATGGTACGTGTTACAGCTTGGCCCTTGGAGGAACACCAGTTGCTTTAGTTGTGCAATATCTGATTAGGTGATCTGGTCTACAAACATCAGTCGTTTCCTTACTCCATCCTCTTCAGAACAGTGACCAGCTTTCCACTGATTTAAAGGAACAATATTGGGCTAGATATTTTGGTATATATATTCACATCACCTTGTACAGCACCAGGAAATCCAGGTGACATCAAATCTGAATGTTCCTTGCTGCCTTTGCATCTGACAACATCTCAGCACATGAAAATGAACTGATCTGAGTAGACTGCAGAATCCTTTTGCCAACTTTACTTTGTGTCAGAACCCTTTCAACTGAGGAAATAGTGCATCTGCTACCTGCTTTATCCCAAGGAGAATATTATGTCTGCAGGAGAAAGGAGATTGTCATTGACAAGTCTCTAGCTAAAAGTAATTGTAACAGAAAAAATGGCACTACCAGCTCCTTAATAGTGTGATGCTGTGGTCCAGAACTGTTTCAGTGTGTAGAAGTGCAAACATTTTTGAGCACTGCTTACCGTCTCCATAGATTCTTTCCGTCGCATATAGGAGCAGCATAAAATCCTGCGGGTTTTCAACAGTGTCATGTTTAGAGAAGAGGCACAATGCTCCTGAGAGCTCTGCTGTACATGAGAACTTGGGGTTATGTTGGGTATGTTTGTGTCTCTAGTCTGGTAGTTCATACTTAAAAGGGGGAAAAGAGCTACTTGTATTATTGCTTTCTACAGACACATTAGGCAGAGAAATAGCCTTCTGAAGGGAAAAGTGTCCTAAGGATCAGCAATCTTAATCTATGAGAGATCAACAGTGCTTGAGAGAGGAGGGTGTGTGGGTGTGTGGGTGTGTGTGTGTTAGATGTATACTACTGGATTCTTAAATACCAGTCAACACTGCGAATCTCTATGCAATGTGTTTTATGTGACACTGGCTAGAACATCCTTTCCTCCTCCTAACCGAAGCTTGTCATCCATTGGAAAGACTTTCAGGAGCCAAGACAAAGAGGTGCAGTTAATATGTTTATTCAAAGAAGACAATTCTAAAGCAGCAGATGATGATGTATGGAAAAAGAGACAGAGCCTACGTGCTACATGCTACATTGGGTGGTGCTTACATTCAGCTGCAAGCTCTGGGGGCACAGAGTTGGAGATCCCACACCCCCAGCAGTGATGCAGACTACCAGGCTGCTTTGATGATGACATATTGGAGTGTACGGGACTCTATGAGGCACCTGGAGGTGTTGCTTTGCTGTTTTTGAAGGCATCACCACCCCAAAGGCTCCTTTGGGCAGCTGCAGCTGCAAGGACCCCCCTAGCTGTGTCCCCTGGGATCATCCCACAGGAAAGCAACAGGGCCCTGGTATGAGTGGCCTCGTTATCTGGGAGCTGAAGCAAAATGGGAATGGTGACAGTTGCTGACGTGACTCCCTCTTTGCAATGCGAAGTAATCCCATGCCTTCCTAGAGGAGCGTCCCATGCCTGTCCCAGGGATGTAAGGATTCATGTATGGAACAGCTTCCACAAGGCAGAGCATAGTCTGGGGTGAGGCAGAACCGATGCTTTCATCAGAAGAGAAAATAAATAGTAGAGGAAGCACGCTACTTGCTGAAATGAAAGAGCTCTAAAGCTTAGCTAAAACCCATTCTGTGGCAAACTCGTAAAGTCACCATCTTACAAACCCTTAGGAAACTAACGTGGCCTCTTCTTCTGCTCACAGCATACCCCAAAAGGAGGTATACTGGTTCTCCCAAGAGGATGCTGCACACATGGTACCAGCCTCCAGGTCCACGTTGGACCTTAGGCCAACTACTCACACAGGAAGAAGGCAGCTCGGATGGGCTCACAGGATCACTGCACTGTCCGAGCAGCTGGAGATCTGGCTGGGTGCTGGGAACAACTGACCAGCCCCAGCACCTGCAATGGGGCTGGAGAGGACACGGACACAGGACTGCAGCAGTCCCTTCAGATGGGCTTTGAATGTCACCCCAGCAAAGGCGTAGATCACGGGGTTCAGGCAGCAGTGGATGAAGGAGATGGTTTCCGTCAGCTGCAGCGCCAGGGCTATCTGGTAGCTTGCCTTGCAGTCATTGATGATGTGCAGGCTCTGCAGGGAGTCGAGGAACAGCACGACGTTGAAGGGAGTCCAGAAGAGGAAGAAAACAATGACGATGATGAAAATCATCTTGATGGCCTTGATCTTGTTCCGGTTTTTGCATTTTTGCAGGTTTTTCAGTATCTGGGCATAGCAGCAGATGAGGATGCTCAGGGGAATCAAGAGGCCTAAAATATTGGATGCAAACTGAGAAGCAACCTTCCAGGTATTGTCGCCTGGGGGGTATATGGGGACACACTGCACAGACTGCTCGATTTCCAGCTGCTGGTTGAACATGATGTTGGGGACAGAAGCCAGGCCAGCCACCAGCCACAGGATTAAACTGGTGATTATACCACAGGAGGCTGTCCGTATCCTCATGGCATAGACAGCATGGACAATTGCGATATACCTGTCAATGCTCATGAGGGTTATAAAGAAAATGCTGCTGTAAAACCCTGTGTAATAAATGCCAGCCATTATCTTGCACATAGCGTTGCCAAAAACCCACTGGTCTGAAGCATAATGGGCTTGGAAAGGGAGAGGCACAACGAAGAGAAGGTCAGAGGCTGCGAGGTTCAGCAGGCAGATGTCAGTCATTGTCGTCAGCCTTTTCCTGGTCAGGAGAACCCAAAGGACCAAGGTGTTTCCCAGAAGGCAGAAGACAAACACAAGGCAGTAAAGAATCGGCAGGAAGAGGGATTTAAACCTGCGAAAGCCATTTCCTTCATTGCATGGAGCAGTGTTTTCATCATATCCATAGTCATATTCTGTTGTGCCAAAGAATGGGCTTGTGGGATTCATCTCAGATACCTGTGCAGGAAAGAGCAAGGGATAAATGGCTGGTTGTCCTGGCATGGGACTCCCAGAGTGGCTTCTGCCTCCCTCTGTGCTGCATCGAGCCCATGGGTCAGCCTTCAGGCAGAGAGGGACTGCAATATGAAGTCTTGGTCTCATTTGTACCACTCAAAAGCACGGGGCTGGTGCTGGAAGCCTGCCACCATTCCTTTACATGCATAGTTATGAGCACTGGGGTGCTCTTTGTTTCCCCCAAACTGCCTCAGTGGCAGTGAGTTAGCCCCTCATCAGAGGAACATAGATTTAACTAGGTTGGAAAAGACCTTTAAGACCTCAAGTCCGACCATTACCATTAGAAAGAATTCATGCTCTGAATAGTTGTAATGGTGTAAAATGGTACAAAACCTGCATCTGATCTAAGAATCTGGATTTTATCGTGGTTCCTTGGCTGGGGAGGTTCTTCACTTGTAGCATAAAGACCCTTATGAAAGTGTGTTGACTGAAGAAGCCATCAGCCAGCAGCATCAGCACATTTTCAGCTGAGCTGATGAGGGCATGGAGAGCATTTCCTCTCTGTCCTTTCTGAATCATTGCAGTGAAGACAGTGTTAAAATAGTCTGATCTCCTCTCCAAAAGGGAGTCAGTGCTTTAAGCCACCTTTTGGGTTTTGTTTGGTCATTTGTTTCCAGATGTCACCTCATCACCCCTATAAGAGGGATCTGGTTTGCAGGGTGAGGTACCCACATTTTAAGGAGTGATGCTTCTTTCGAAAGACACTGTTTCAAAGGTGTTTGCCTTGTCATTGCCAAGACATTTGTATGTTTCTTGTTCACTGCACCTCTGTTACGCCTGCGTACAGGTTGATCACGTCTTGAAAGACCTTTGAAGATACCGTTTCCAGGACTATAATTATTGCTAATAAGCTCTAATAATAAAATAATTGACAGTGATTAATTCATTAAAGCAGAGGCCATGCTCTTGTAAGTTAAAAGGTATACAAAAAGGCAGAGAATGGTGGAAGTGTTCATATTGACAAGGAAGGAATCAGAATTCACCCCTTCTTGCCTATCTTGTGCCACCTTGTGCAGGGAAATAGGAGGATCAGTATGCACAACACAAAGAGGTGCTGGAGTCAGTGGTCATCCTCTGCTCCAGCTATGGATACTCATCCCCCACTGATCTGCCTCAGCTTTCCTTGGGGCACCAGGACTGTTTCCTCCAAAGGCAACTGGCATATGCAATGCAGAGAAACCTTTTACAAATACAGCACTCAGCCCTATGGAGTTCCTTGTTCATAAATATGAGTAATGAAAAGAAAGCAGCACTGCAACCTATGCTGATCGTGTGATGCTTTCCTATATTGAGGTTTCAGCTGTACGTAGGACATTTGTGTTATTAACTTCAACTTTGTTTTCATGCCTAAGCCCCTAAATATTGACACTTCGAGTCACTAGATAACGGCTGTTCATGCAGCAACACATATGGGTAGAAAATGTTTCCTGCTAATGCTTTTGATGTGTGACCCCTCACACGCACTGTGACTGTTCGCATTTCAGCAATGGCTTGATTTTCTTATTTCCTTGAGGGACCCCTTAAAAGCAGTCAATAGATTGAATCAAAAGTAAAACCAAAAATCAAACAATAATGAATGCTGTGCTATAGATATATATGGGTATATAAATACATGCATCGATTGGTAGATTTATAGATATAAAGCATCTGATTTTGGTTGAATAGGGATTGGAGAGGCTCCGCTTTAGGCTTTCAGATGACTTTTGAAACATTTAATACCTTTGACAGCTTCCAACGTGGGCACATTTTCCATCATCTCCCCTCTCCACATCAGTCAGTGGAACAGTCAGAATGAAAAAGCAGTTTTTCCGAGGAGAGAGGTAACTGCTGCAGGTCCCTTCACCCTGCTTGCCGAGGTTAGACTATTACTTTTATGAGTAGCGCATTAAATGTGGATGGACTTTACCTTTGACAGCAAGAAGCCTCTACTCTCTCCGCTGACCCTGGTCCCGTCCTTCTACCGTGTCCTTGTCTTCTCTTGCAGGCTTGGGAGCTTCCAGGACGCTTACTCCATCGCCTGTGGAGGTGGCTGAGCTTTGGTGATATGCAGGTATCGAATGGGCAGCTGCTAGTTACAGAACAGAGGCAAACCGAAGATCCTGAAGCTGCGGTAAACAGGAAAAGAGGTGACACAAACACATTATGTGAAACAAAACTCAAACACGGCCCTTTTCAAGGCAGCAACGGTAGCACCTGAATAGGTGTTCTCCTTCCAGAGCACTTGCTAAACCCCACTGCTTCACAGCCGCCCCTGACAGAGGTGTGAAGTTGAGATATCTCCATCACAGAGCACATACATAAACTTGCAGCTTTTGACAGAAGCTGGTGGATCATTTCCAGCTTGTGTTATTTTAGTGTTCTGTTTCCTTCAGCTAAGATCTGCACCCTGGCTGGGGCCCTCCCCATCAGTAGCCTATTCACCTTAGGAGCAAAGTAAGAACTCACAGATGCTGATACCTCTTCGCAATCGGTTTTTAAGCAGCTTTTATTCAAGTGGAGCTATCTCAGAGCTTCTTTGCTACTTGGGAGTTCTTTTAGGTATAATCTAATGCATTATTTTAGGTCAAGGATAAAATACTGAAACAAAGACAAGCTTGACTTTCTTTACTTTATTCAATAGCTTTAAATGATGTCTGTACTGTATGTTGTAAACTGTGGTGCTTTGTAAGTCAGCCAAATGATACGTTTCTCATCCATTAATCTCAACAAGCACCAGTTTCCTGATTTATAGGAGCACAGAGAAGATGAGCTTTGCCCAAGAGACACAAACAAGTACTTGTTAGATCCAGAGCTTGGTTGTTATTAAAGTCATTCACTTCTTTGGTAGCAGCTCCAATCCAAAGTAGCTTTCCAGCTTGCTGGCTGGTGCAGAAACAAATAGTGAAAGAGGATCCCAAAAAAAGAGAAGAGCTAAAAGCTGGAGGCAGACAAAGAAAAAGGTGAGAAAATGGGCTAGAGAAAAATGAAGAAACAACCGATTTATAGAATCATAGACTCACAGAACGGTTTGGGTTGGAAGGGACCTTCCAAGCTCATCCAGTCCAACCCCCTGCAATGAGCAGGGACATCTTCAACCAGATCAGGTTGCCCAGAACCACATCCAGCCTGGCCTTGGCATGCTGGCCACACTCCTTTGGATGCAGCCAAAGGACTTGGCATTCGTCAGTAGCACAGGCAGAAAGATAAGACCTCTCCCTTGAGGAATTCAGAATGCTACCAATGACCATGGCACCACTCTGCCTCTAAGCACCCAGTTACAGGGTTTACTGTTAGAACCCTCCTCCTGTTACACGCATAATGTAACTCCATTCTACCTACTTTCATTGTTTAGAAATCAATAGCTTTCATCATTTCTTCTTATGAGCGAACATCAGTCAATTAAAGGTGCCTCCTTTTCCATTGGATGGTTTGTGCATTGGCCAGTAAGTTATTAACATATATACAAAAGTATGAAGAGTTTGTCGTGAAAGCAATAAAACAATGAAATACAGCTAAATTTTAAATATTCATGATTATTTTGAAATGGAAAGAGAATCTTGTGCTTTTTCTTGAATCATTTTCTGCTGCAGGTATTATGCTATTGCAAAAGACTTCAGTTCACTCAAAATGCCTATTGGTTTCAACTGGGAGATCTTCAAGCTGTGTACGTGCAGCAGCAGCAGTCCTGCAGAGCCAGGCAAAGTGAGGCATGGAGGTGGAAGAGTGTGGCAGGGAGCACTCTGTGGGTTGGAGAAAGCAGGAGCAAGCAAGAAGATGCAGAGAACCTTAAAGGCAAGGAAAAGAGCTTGAATTCAAGCAGCAAAAGAGGAGATACAAGTGAGCAGGCCTGGTGACTGCTGTGGTTGGAGCTCCCAGGGTGATGGGTGATCCTGGCACAGTCATCCTCCAAGCTTTCCTCAATGGAGGAAGGCAATTCAGTAATGGCAATGGAAGATGTAATCTGTTGAAGGCAGTGAAATGAGGGGAGCAGCGATGGGTTTAGGAGATGACTAATCTGGCTGCTCACTCTCTTACAGGTAATTTGAGGTGAGTATGGGCAGAGAGAGCGCTGCTGGGCTGGAGGGTGGTAGAGATGAATGTGTGTTCACAGATGTGGGAGGCTGAATGCTGTAGGCATGCTACGCTTCCCTTGAAAGCTCAGAAGAGGTTACCTGGAGGGGGAAGGATGGGAGGGACGTGTTTCCAATGCTCTCCACCATCAGCTATGAGCCAGGCTGCAATGACCTGCACCCTTTCCATCCTTTTTCAGTCTGCAAGTAGCATCGGCAGTGTTCAAGGCCAGGTTGGACAGAGCCTTGGGTGACATGGTCTAGTGTGAGGTGTCCCTGTCCATTGGCAGAGGGTTGGAACTGGTTGATCTTAAGGTCCTTTTACAACCCAAACCATTCTATAATTCTATGACCCTGAGTTACACCTCCTCCTGAGTTACACAAGGACCACGCAGGCAAACAAGGACTCTCTATGGAGCCAACAAACATCCTTTGGAGTTCACCTGCAGAGGATAACAAAGCAAAAACTGTGGTAAACCAGCAAGAGGTTTGAAGTTAAAGGTCACCTGCATTTGAAAGTGCTGAGCTCGGATGGAAAGAGGTGCAGAAATGCTGCGAGGTGGCAGGAGCACCCACATGAGAGAGCTGGGCTTAGCCTGATAAAGGAAAGACATGTGAGGGATACATTTGGAACATACAGACAGCCCAGCATGGAGAAGGGCAGGGGAAAAGAGGATTGTCTTGCTTTACAGAAAGCACAGGCATAGCAGGGCAATGTTTGCAGGTTGCCCCTTGGGCTGAAGGGAGCTGGTGCTGGTGCTGTGGAGCAGCCTTCCTGCAGGAGGAGAGCAAGCCAGCTGGTGTAAGTGCTCCTTGGTTAAGTGTGGGAAGGGAGACACCAGACCCGGAGGCTCTCATAGCTGGGGATGGGGCAGCAGGCACCAAACAGTCCCTCCCAGGGCTTTGGGGGTGATCCCAAGGTGCTGGGTGGGACACGGAGGGCAGGGAGGTCTTAGATCTGCTTGCTAAGAACCCATCCAAAACCCACCCTAGAGCTCCCTCCTCCAGCAGGCCTGGCTGCTGCCTTGCAGCACACTCCAGCTGAGTTTTATCTGGATGCTAAAAGCAGTGGTAGTGATGGCTCCCCATGTTCTTGTGGGCTTCCCTGGTAGAAACACCTTATGGCAAGAGAGACAGCTGATTGTTGGTATCTCCAGTGCTCCAACCTATGGCCAGTTTGGGTGCAGGAGCTATGCCACACACTGCTCCATGCCCCCAGTCAGAACTGCAGAGGGAAGAGCCACGTGGCATCACCACCATGGTGAAAACATTGGTGCACAGGTTCAAAAACTCAGGGAAAATGTCACTGTAGGAGAAGCCTTCTGGTTTGTCTTATGTTTTGATGGTGGTTGCCAGGCTCAGCCTGCAGCAGCCACTTTGAAGTTATGGCTTCTGCCTCAGTGATGACGAAACCTCCCATGCAATGCTTCATGTAGACACTGTCAGCCTAAAAGTGACCAGCACATCTGAGTAACGCAGAGTTCCTCTCCCCCAGACTATTCAGAGCCCTGAGGTCATGGAAGTGATGCTCTGTGGAAGCCCATGTAAATTGGAAAGGCTGTGGCAAATGCCACGACCACAACGAATCTTGCTGTGAGGCAAGGAGCATGGCCACATCTGCAGCTCCTACAGCCAGCCATACCTGCTGGCACTGGGGGAACCACCATGCACACCAGCTCAGCTTCTGACATCAGCCCCAGAGGGTTTTCTTGTCCCTTTGGGGTGACAGCCAGCTTAGCTGCTGCAAAACTATGCCTGCTCTTGTAGAAACCTCTCCTTCCTCCTGCAAATGGTCTGGGTGAATCGAGCTTCATCACAGAAAGGAAACTGCGGTTGAAACAAAAGACACCACCAGCAAGAACTTGCTTTGGCCTCAAGAGCCTCAGCCACAAGCCCTGCTATAGCTCTGGCTGTTTGGTCAAGTGGAGGGGAGGCACCTTTGTGTCACCATGGTAAAGGCTATGGTGTTGGTGCAGCAGCCATTAAGAAAGGATGGGAATAAAAGCAGAGTAAGATACCCTACCTGGTAGGATATTTCCCAAGAAAAGACTAAGTCTTTCCTGGAACTGCTCACTGTCATAGTGGAAAGTGGAGGACAAGTTTGCCTTGATGTGATGCTCTGCTTCCACCCACCTCAACACGGTGGTAACCATCCAAGTGAGGCCCAGAGACTTTCTCTACCTTGGCTTGACAGCCAAATAAGAGCAGCTTCTTAGTCAAAAAGAGGCCTTTCCCTTTCAAACCAGCCCTCACCTTGCATCTCAGAGTTCTTACTCTCCCATATTAGAAGAGGAGGAGAGGTGACTTAGCTCAGGAGGGGAAACAAAGGCAGGACTGAGTGCAGCAGGGGGTATGCATGCTCACAGATGCTGGGTTGCTCAGCGAACATGGTTTATAAACCACCAGGAATCATCACTATTGATGGGGAGAACAATGACAACAGCTTGACTTTGCAGGGAAGGCAGGGGGTCGGGGCAAGCATGTCCTTTGTGGAGGGAGAGCAATGCGGCAGGTAGCACCTTGACGAACATCTCACCCCATATTCCTCTCCCTGGCCATCCCTCTGCACCAAAATCCCTCTCCCAAGTGTCTCTGCTGCCTGCATGGACCCACAAGAACCTTCCACTGGCTGTATCCCCCTTGCGCCCTTCTCCCACAGGGCAGCAGGGATTGGAAAGCACTGAGTGCACAGAGCTGGCACTCACCTGGGAGCTACAGGAGGAAACCCCACACAGGAGCTGTCTTGGAGGAATCTTGGCCTTTTTCAGTTATTGCCACGGTATCTGGGTCTATCAATCAGAAGTTCTTCAAACGTGCCTATGGATGATCTTAAGGTCCCTTCCAACCCAAACCATTCTATGACTGTGATTCCACAATCAGCCTCAGCTACCAAGACACCAGCTTAGCGGGACTGCATGATCTTAACCAAAGATGTTTAACCAAACACTGCCAGTGTAGAGGTACAAAAATGCCATACACAGAAGGGCTCGTTTCACTTTCCTGATGGGGATATCGT